GTCGCTGGGGTATATTTGTAGCAATAGCCAAAAATATGGGTCAAAATTATAGATTTTTCTTTTATGCCAAAAATCATTAGGATATTAAGTAAAGATCATGTTCCATAAAGATATTTTGTAAATTTCCTACCGTAAATCTATCAAAACTTAATTTTTGATTAGTAATATGCATTGCTAAGAACTTCATTTGGACGACTTTAAAGATGATTTTCTCAATATTTAGATTTTTTTGCACCCTCAGATTCCAGATTTTGATATGTATACATTTTTGATATGATGTATAAATCTCAATTTTGAAAAATTGACACTTAAGACCAGTTTTGTGGTCCAGGGTCACATATATGGTTATATTAGGGCCCTATGATTTCTGCGATGTGTAAAACGTATGCGTAATCGTGAAATGCAGTCATAAAAATGGAATTTATTGTATAACACAGAATTTGGATGAATAAATCAAAAGTAGGGATTAATCAAATCATGATATAGACTAGTGTCTGCAAATATTAAAACTCAAAAACACTATTTAGATACGAAGTTTTAAAGTTTCAATTGATTAGACATGTTTTTTTTTTTTTATTAACATTTAATTAAACCTAACCGACCTTAATAAATTATCTGAATATTACATAAGTGATTGTTTGAGTTGGAAATACCAAATTACCGATTTTTTTTTTTGTTGCCTAGAATATACATCTTTTTTTTTTTCACTAAAAGAAATTACTGTTTGACTAACAAATTACATTAATTTTAATCCAAATATTATTTTGTTAAACTTTCATAAAGTTTCAAGAGCTATAATTATTACATATTCCATATCAATGTTCTTCTTATTTAACAACAACTTAAGATATTAAGTGAGTTTGGCACAATTAACAATTGCACACAGAGCGAGGGAAATCTGATTTCCCAGCATGCTTTGACACAGACTGTATAAAAAGAGTAAATGTTGACATTAAGAGTTGTATATGTGTGTTTCCACAACATTAATATTGGAGGAGATCTGTTAGTGTTTAACGTCCATTTATGTTTAATGTTCTTTAAAACAGATTTGTGTAATGTTGCTGTTTTGTGGTGATTAGGTCGAGGACAGGCCACGACACATTAAGATTATATAAACTGAATGTTGCTTTATATTAAAAGCAATAATTGTGTGCGTGAGTGAACGTGTCTCTTTGTTAAATATGACAGCACATGTATGTGTGCTACTGCTGGTTAATAGTCCATTGCTACTTTTAGTGCATTCAAATAAATAAAATTAATCATAAATATTGGATTTTATATTGGCTAATCCAAATATTAGAGTTAAAGTTAACTAAACTATGGTTACTACACTTTTACTACAGTAAAACCATGGTTAATTTTCGTAAGGGCGAAATTAAGCTGCTGGCGGCTCTCCACTTTCTCTCTTTTTTCTCCGCCAGCTGTTGATTATATGTTTCACGTGTTGTGCTTTTATTGAGTAGCTCATCCAATAACAGCAATGAGTGATTTTCACCAATAATGAGATGCGGCTGCTGGGCAATAAGCCCTGGTTGTGGAGTAAATGAAGACACTATGGAAAATATATTATGATAATATAAATGACCCTTTCAAAGGTTAGTGATGGTGTACTGCCGTTACGCATGATACGTTTGGGCATGAGGCTGCAGGTTCGCACACTCATTTCGAAATTATATAAAATATCCAGGGTTGGATTTAGTTTGCAATTTCAATTATGTTTATAAGGTCCCGTGAGTCCTGATAAATGCAATTTCAACTATTTCTGAAGTGCTGTTTGTTGGAAAGCACTTTCTTTCTTAATTTCTTTCTTTTGTTAAAAGCTGTTAAATTATTAAGCAGTGTCTCCTGTAGTTTTTTTCCTTGTATTTTATGTGGTGACCACTGGGAGGTGCTCTGAGCATACATTTTTCTTTCTTGGTTTAATTCCCTGACGTGATGTATGTTGCAAAGTGAAAGTAAAAGCACCTAGTAACGTCGCACGTAAGAAAGCAGCCTCCTAAGGTATAGTTCAGGGAACATGTCTAGAGCAGGTATACCTTTAGTTAAGACATACCTTTAGAGTCTTCATAGCATACTATGAGGTTATCGGGAAACGCACCCTTGGACATTTCAACATGAATCATGCTGTTCACACTCTGACTAGCCTCATTATTCAGAAGCAGCCTGATTGTTCGGGGTGTTTTAAGTGGACTGGTGGTTCAGGCGGCCCACTGATGGTTTTGAAAGTGTCTAGCTGCGCACATCTCGAGTTCAGAGCTGCTTTTGTCCAGGGCTGATGGGTTAATTGCTGGGGTGCAGGATGTCACGCCAGTCCCAGAATATCTCCCTCTGTCTCTTTCTCTTTTTTCTCACCTCATTTTTTTCATCCTGTGTTCTTTTCTCCTCTTCTCATTTCAGCAGTTTTCATTCTTGCCAAAGCCGCTTCCTCAGCTGAGACGCTATTGAGTCTTTGAACCATCTTCACTGATAGCTGCTCCAAAACACACACACCGCAGGGTCCCAGGGAATCGGGGAGCAAAATTGGGAAATGAGTAACATATAAAAAAAAAAAATATATATATATATATACAGTGGGTACGGAAAGTATTCAGACCCCCTTACATTTTTCACTCTTTGTTATATTGCAGCCATTTGCTAAAATCATTTAAGTTAATTTTTTTTCCTCATTAATGTACACACAGCACCCCATATTGACAGAAAAACACAGAATCGTTGACATTTTTGCAGATTTATT